ATTATTTGTTGAAAATAAATAATATATATAATATAAAGATAATATTTTTTATATAATTCGGTCAGTTCTGGTATATCGTTGTTTTTTTTTTAAGTAAAATTTGTGAAAATACACATTGTTAGATGTAATGTGCATTTCTGTATAACACTATTATCCTGTATGCTAGTCACTAATGTGTATTTTATTTAACATTTTTGTGCATTATGCAGTAAGTTTTTGAATGTGCAAATCCAAACTAAATTTGAACTGAAATAATCAGATTATTCGATTGGTTAACCGAATTAACCTAAATAATTGACATATTTTATTATTTATATTATAAAAAAATATTTATTAATTCATTATTTTTAATTAATTTATATTATTTTCATTTAATATTTTATTTATTATTTTAGTACATATATATGTATAAAAAATATATAATTTTTTTTTTTCTAAATTATAGATTTGGCTTATGTACTAAATTGAAATATAATCAAAATTCTTATAATTACATATAGGCCCTTGCAAATCATCATTTTTATTTTAAAAAAAAAAAAACCACAACCCCCAATTGGATTTTCACAGATTTTCCTGCAAGTTGGCCTCCAAGAAGAAGTTTCTCTCGGCGATGCACGTGGTGACACTGCGGAGATTGTACTCCGTTTGGTAGGCGGCTGAGGTAGAGGGGTGGGCGAGGTCGGCGGTGGATGAGGCGTACGCAGAGAAGGAGGCAGCGTTCGTCGGAGGCTGGGCCGCAACAGAAGGCAGCTTTGCAAGGATTTCGGTGGTCGGGAATATTGCGTCAGTGGGAGGTCGCCGGCGAGGGGGGCTGAGTTGTGTGTAAGTGTGCGTGTGCGCGCGCACTCATGTGTGGGTTGAGGTGGTTTTGGCGCCTGGTGGCTGCGGGACCCACTTGGTAGGTCTGATGGGGTCCACTAAGAAATCTATAAACATATAAAAAGAATAACCTTTTTTTAAAAAATAGCAGGTCAATCTTTGGTTAAAATTTTTTTGCATTAATTACATTCCATTCTTAGTAAATTCTCTTTTTTTTAAAAAAAAAAAAAATGGCAGCATTAAATGCTACTCATTAATTCACGATGTTGTTATTTTGCTTTTCAAAAAATCGTGAATGTTGCCCATTAATTGCGGTGTCTGTTATTTTGTTTTTAAAAAATCGTGCTTAATTAATTAGTGTTAATTAGTGTTGATTTAATATTCAAATGGTCAAACATTTTTTTACACAAAATCATGTAACACATTTGTAGTTTTTATTTATCATCTACGCCTGATTTAAAATTACGGTATTTAAAATTAAAAAAATTGTTATATAATTTCAAAACATTGTAAAATTGAAGATATGACTGATTTAAAATTATAAAAATTATTTTTTCAGTCATTGGTTCGAAAACTCTTCAAATTCAAAATTTAAAATTGTAAAGAATGTAT